AAGTCCTTCGCTGACGACTTTTGTTCGAACCACAACGCTGTAAATGCTTCACCCACGTACTACAAATATAAATATTAGCCAACGGAACCTGAACACCTAACCTAACCAATGCCTAAATATGCACAATATGCATATATATATAACAATATTAATTTATATTTGAGAAAATTCCAATTATGAATTGTTACAGCATGCATTCAAATAACAGGATGTTAAAAATTGATGAATGCGTCCTTGGGGTCGACCGCTGGATGGAATGGACTTGGTCTGAGGACGGGTTGTATAACCCCCTCACATACACTTACAAACGCCCGTCAAGGTGGAGTGTCAGTACAATGGGTCACTGCTGAGTGACTCATTTGCGAAAAATAAATAAAGAACAATAAAGAAGATTTACATTCCATAAACACGAGAGAACACCAAGTGAAGCAAAGTGAATCAAGTGCAATTCAATCCTCTATTGTTTTTAAAACAGAGCTCGAGCATCATAAATAAGATACGCAGCGCCGAGTGTGTTAAAGACGCCGCGCCATCGCCATATGTAAATGGCTCAGCAACCTTCTGCACACGAGATGAATGGTGACGGTGATGGTGGGCCCCCCACGGGGGGAGGGGGGGGCTGCGGCCCCCACGGGGGAGGGGACTGGGCCCCCACAGGGGAGGGGGACAGGGCGCCCACCCTAGTTACTCCTGGGGGAAAGGTGGGCCATGTACTCTAGTAACCCCCCCCCCCCCGGGGAAAGAAGCAGGATAACCACTCTGGTTTTCCCCTGGGAGACTGGGCCACCACTCTGGTACCCCCGAGGGGATGGCAGGGCAAACCACTCTGGTATCCCTGGGGCGAGTAGGTTAGGCCATCACTCTTGATATCCTCCAGGAGGCAGGCCAACCACTCTGGTACCCCGGGGGCGAGTAGGTTAGGCCATCACTCTTGATATCCTCCAGGAGGCAGGCCAACCACTCTGGTACCCCGGGGAAGGCTGGACCTCCACTGGTATCCCCTCTCCCCCCTCGGTTAACCCCGGGGGGAGGGGGGGGGAAGGCCTTGCATCAACCCTCTCCCAATATACAAGCAAGTCACTCATTATCATCAACAACTACACTTTAGGTCGGAGCGGGTTGTAAGGTATGACCACAAGCGTCCTTGATATTATCAGTACGGCCATAAATTGTGTTAAACCCGTTCCTGAGCGTCGTTTTGTGGGACCCAGATAACACCACTATGGTTCCCTCCTGCTGGATGAGACGGAAGGTGGACACACCGCCAGCCTCTAAGCCAACACTTTGCTCATCCTTAATTATCACCAAGTCCCCTCATAGTAGGCATCCGTCAGTCTCAGGAGACTGATGGATGCTTCATAAGTCCCTCATATAACCATCGTCATCCAGCAGGAGAGTTATTACCCCACACGGGCACGTGTTGTGGATTGCATGTATTACCATTGTTGTGTAGCAGAGCAGGAGTAGTTAGGTAAGGCTTGGATACAACGGGGTTTCCTTGGATGGAAGCCCCGAAACAACTCCAAGGTAGGGTAAGGTGACGAGTCTTGTGACGTCACATGAATGACGTCATCTCCAGCTGAGGCAAGGTCAACAATGGGAGCCCCTAATTGGTTCAAAGTCACGTGAGTTTGAGAAAATCGGACTTGTCTCATGTGCGTCGTCACTTTCACTGAAATGTGTCTGAAGCAGAGAGCAAGGAGAGGCACCTTCCCCCTCCTTGCCTGTAGCAGAGGTCACACGCTCATGAAGAAGTGTGACAAGACTGGCGATTGCCGCTGGCCAGAATTTCCGACCCAAAGAAGATCTTTGTCCTAGAAGAACATATTTGTGGAGGAACGTCTACAAGAGGACACCTGGAGGACACCTGCTCTAGTAGCCCAGACGTCAAAATGAGGCTGTGTGTGAGACGGGGGGAACTGTGGGCAGATCTTGGAACTTGTATTCTACAAATTTGAGCTCGAATGCAGGGAAGGGAAGGGAAGGGAGCGCCCCCTGTCAGGTTGCAAGCGATGTGCACACTCAACCGACATCACCAGACTGGACGATGATTCTGGACACAGGCTGGAGACGGCCTGCATCTCCGACACCTTAAGCAACACCGTGTATACAGAAGGGGTCAGCAAGAGGGTTTGATTACGTTAATGCTTCTCTGGAGATCCATCGCAGTTGTGTATTTCTGCTCTTATGCCGTGTACCCGGTGAGCAGGACGTTCTGGAATTATATTGTATTCATTGTGTGGGATCAGTTGATCCTGTTATTGATCCGTCGTGTGGGATCAGTTGATCCTGTTATTGATCCGTCGTGTGGGATCAGTTGATCCGTCGTGTGCGTGTGTGGACGCTTGCCTGCAGTACGATAATTATTAGCCCTAATTACTGATGCGTTGTGACAAGTCTCCATATCCTGTGTATAATGTAGCACACACACCAGGCTACCAGGGGCCTGGTAGCCTGGTGGATAGCGCACAGGATTCGTAATTCTGTGGCGCGGGTTCGATTCCCGCACCAGGAAGAAACAAATGGGCAAAAGTTTCTTTCACCCTGAATGCCCCTGTTACCTAGCAGTAAATAGGTACCTGGGAGTTAGTCAGCTGTCACGGAATGCTTCCTGTGGTGTGTGGGGTGTGGAGAAAAATAGAAAAGAAAAAAGAGGAGTTAGTAAACAGTTGATTGAAAGTTGAGAGACGGGCCGAAAGAGGAAAGCTCAACCCCCGCAAACACAACTAGGTGAATACACGTACCCAAATGAGCCACAGGGACGATAGAAAGAACTTTTTCAGTGTCAGAGTAGTTAACAGGTGGAATGCATTAGGTAGTGAAACGGTAGAGGCTGACTCCATACACAGTTTTAAATGTAGATATGATTGCTGGTACATTGCTGAGCCCAGTAGGCTCAGCAATCTGTACACTAGTTGATTGACGATTGAGAGGCGGGACCAAAGAGCCAAAGCTCAACCCCCGCAAGCACAAATAGGTGAGTACACACACACACACACACACACACACACACACACACACACACACACACACACACACACACACACACACACACACACACACAGGTGTCAGGTGATCAGGTGACACAGATTAAGCAAGAAAGAGAGGGCTGGGCGGACTGCATTTTCTTGGATTGTCGGAAAGCCTTTGACACAGTACCGCATAAGAGGCTGGTACATAAGCTGGAGAGACAGGCAGGTGTAGCTGGTAAGGTGCTCCAGTGGATAAGGGAGTATCTAAGCAATAGGAAGCAGAGAGTTACAGTGAGGGGTGAGACCTCCGATTGGCGTGAAGTCACCAGTGGAGTCCCACAGGGCTCTGTACTCGGTCCTATCTTGTTTCTGATATATGTAAATGATCTCCCGGATGGTATCGATTCATTTCTCTCAATGTTTGCGGACGATGCTAAAATTATGAGAAGGATTAAAACAGAAGAGGACTGTTTGAGGCTTCAAGAAGACCTAGACAAGCTGAAGGAATGGTCGAACAAATGGTTGTTAGAGTTTAACCCAACCAAATGTAATGTAATGAAGATAGGTGTAGGGAGCAGGAGGCCAGATACAAGGTATCATCTGGGAGAGGAAATTCTTCAGGAGTCAGAGAAGGAAAAAGACTTGGGGGTTGATATCACGCCAGACCTGTCTCCTGCAGCACATATCAAGCGGATAACATCAGCGGCATATGCCAGGCTGGCCAACATACGAACGGCATTCAGAAACTTGTGTAAAGAATCATTCAGAACTTTGTATACCACATATGTCAGGCCAATCCTGGAGTATGCAGCCCCAGCATGGAGTCCATATCTAGTCAAGGATAAGACTAAACTGGAAAAGGTTCAAAGGTTTGCCACCAGACTAGTACCCGAGCTGAGAGGTATGAGCTACGAGGAGAGACTACGGGAATTAAACCTCACTTCGCTGGAAGACAGAAGAGTTAGGGGGGACATGATCAGCACATTCAAGATTCTGAAGGGAATTGATAGGGTAGATAAAGACAGTCTATTTAACACAAGGGGAACACGCACAAGGGGACACAGGTGGAAACTGAGTGCCCAAATGAGCCACAGAGATGTTAGAAAGAACTTTTTTAGTGTCAGAGTGGTTGACAAATGGAATGCATTAGGAAGTGATGTGGTGGAGGCTGACTCCATACACAGTTTCAAGTGTAGGTATGACAGAGCCCGATAGGCTCAGGAATCTGTACACCTGTTGATTGACGGTTGAGAGGCGGGACCAAAGAGCCAGAGCTCAACCCCCGCAAACACAACTAGGTGAGTACAACTAGGTAAGTACGTACGTACGTGTTATTTCTCTATCTTATCTGCCACGTCTCCGTCTCTGTCCGTCCGTCCCCCCCCCCCCCCCCCCACTCTCTCTCTCCCTCCCCTGCACACTACCGCCGCGGCTCCGCCCCCAGACCCTTCCACCACCTAGAGGACCATCCACCATTACTCCCCTCTGAGCTTTCTGATTTGATCTAAATCCAGCCAACAATTACCCGGAGCTCCGCTCTATCCCCACGATACTCTAATTTGGCTCAAACAACTTCAAAGCATTTTTGTTACCTTTTCTCGCAACTGGAAATGTCCGACTCTAGCAAAAATTACACAAAATATAAATAAATAAATATATATATATATATATATATATATATATATATATATATATATATATATATATATATATATATATATATATATATATATATATATATATATATGTATATATATATATATATATATATATATATATATATATATATACACATAAATAACAAACTGACAGTTGAGAGGCGGGACCAAAGAGCCAAAGCTCAACCCCCGCAAGCACAACTTGGTGAGTACATACATACACTTACATATATCAACAGTATGGTTATATCACGAGTGGTTCAAGAAGTGGCCCACAACACACTCTCTACATGGACATTAAAATCTACCTTCACCTTTCCTGAGAGTCTCCCAGCGTCCCTGAGGGTCTCCTAGCGTCCCTGAGGGCCTCTCAGCGTCCCCTGAGGGCCTCCCAGCGTCCCTGAGGGCCTCGCAGCGTCCCTGAGGGACTCGCAGCGCCCCTGAGGGCCTCGCAGCGTCCCTGATGGCCTCGCAGCGTCCCTGAGGGCCTCGCAGCGTCCCTGAGGGCCTCGCAGCGTCCCTGAGGGACTCGCAGCGTCCCTGAGGGACTCGCAGCGCCCCTGAGGGCCTCGCAGCGTCCCTGATGGCCTCGCAGCGTCCCTGAGGGCCTCGCAGCGTCCCTGAGGGCCTCGCAGCGTCCCTGAGGGCCTCGCAGCGTCCCTGAGGGCCTCGCAGCGTCCCTGAGGGCCTCCCAGCGTCCCTGAGGGTCTTTCACAACACATGAGGGCCTCGCAGCGCCCCTGAGGGACTCCCAGCGCGCCTTAGGGCCTCCCAGCGTCCCTGAGGGCCTCGCAGCGTCCCTGAGGGCCTCGCAACGTCCCTGATGGCCTCGCAGCGTCCCTGAGGGACTCGCAGCGCCCCTGAGGGCCTCGCAGCGTCCCCGAGGGCCTCGCAGCGTCCCTGAGGGCCTCGCAGCGCCCCTGAGGGACTCCCAGCGTCCCTTAGGGCCTCGCAGCGTCCCTGATGGCCTCGCAGCGTCCCTGAGGGCCTCGCAGCGTCCCTGAGGGCCTCGCAGCGTCCCTGAGGGCCTCGCAGCGTCCATGAGGGCTTCCCAGCGTCCCTGAGGGTCTCTCAGAACACATGAGGGCCTCTCAGCGCCCCTGAGGGCCTCCCAGCGTCCCTGAGGGCCTCCCAGCGCCCCTGAGGGTCTCTCAGCGCCCCTGAGGGCCTTCCAGCTTCCCTGAGGGCCTCCCAGCGCCCCTGAGGGCCTTCCAGCTTCCCTGAGGGCCTCCCAGCGCCCCTGAGGGCCTCCCAGCGATCCTGAGGGCCTTCCAGCTTCCCTGAGGGCCTCCCAGCGCCCCTGAGGGCCTCCCAGCGATCCTGAGGGTCTCCCAGCGCCCCTGAGGGTCTCCCAGCGCCCCTGAGGGTCTCCCAGCGCCCCTGAGGGTCTCCCAGCGCCCCTGAGGGTCTCCCAGCGCCCCTGAGGGGCAGCCGCCCCCCTACAGACCGCAACAATTATCACCTCTCCCTCTTTTAAATGCATTTTTAATTATTTCTGGGAATGAGTTTTGAGTTAAAGCAGCAAATGTTGACTGCTTCAGCTGTTGCCCTCCGACCTTACCGCCTCAAAAGTTACAGGTCAAACACTCACATATTTACACAGGTATTGACGGGCAGAATTCTTCTCACTTACGTTCCTCTGAAACTGACGGAAAGTTTGGCGTTGTTTACACACAGTAAATTACATTTACATAATCAAAAACACCACTGGTTGTTAACCCCCCCCTCGTTATCGCCACTATTACCACCCCCTCGTTATCGCCACTATTACCACCCCCTCGTTATCGCCATCGTTACCACCCCTTCGTTATCGCCATCGTTACCACCCCCTCGTTATCGCCATCATTACCACCCCCTCGTTATCGCCATCGTTACCACCCCTTCGTTATCGCCATCGTTACCATCCCCTCGTTATCGCCATCATTACCACCCCCTCGTTATCCCCACCATTACCCCCCCTCGTTATCGCCACCATTACCACCCCCTCGTTATCGCCACCATTACCACCCCCTCGTTATCGCCACCATTACCACCCCCTCGTTATCGCCACCATTACCACCCCTCGTTATCGCCACCATTACCACCCCTCGTTATCGCCACCATTACCCCCCCCTCGTTATTGCCACCATTACCCCCCCTCGTTATCGCCACCATTACCCCCCTCGTTATCGCCACCATTACCCCCCTCGTTATCGCCACCATTACCCCCCTCGTTATCGCCACCATTACCCCCCCTCGTTATCGCCACCATTACCCCCCCTCGTTATCGCCACCATTACCCCCCCTCGTTATCGCCACCATTACCCCCCCTCGTTATCGCCACCATTACCCCCCCCCTCGTTATCGCCACCATTACCCCCCTCGTTATCGCCACCATTATCCCCCCTCGTTATCGCCACCATTACCCCCCTCGTTATCGCCACCATTACCCCCCCTCGTTATCGCCACCATTACCACCCCTCGTTATCGCCACCATTACCCCCCTCGTTATCGCCACCATTACCACCCCTCGTTATCGCCACCATTACCCCCCTCGTTATCGCCACCATTACCACCCCTCGTTACCGCCACCATTACCACCCCTCGTTACCGCCACCATTACCACCCCTCGTTATCGCCACCATTACTCCCCCCTCGTTATCGCCACCATTACCACCCCTCGTTATCGCCACCATTCCCCCCCCCCTCGTTATCGCCACCATTACCACCCCTCGTTATCGCCACCATTACCCCTCCTCGTTATCGCCACAATTACCCCCCCCCTCGTTATCGCCACCATTACCACCCCTCTTTATCGCCACAATTACCACCCCTCGTTATCGCCACCATTACCACCCCTCGTTATCGCCACAATTACCACCCCTCGTTATCGCCACAATTACCACCCCTCGTTATCGCCACCATTACCACCCCTCGTTATCGCCACAATTACCACCCCTCGTTATCGCCACCATTACCACCCCCTCGTTATCGCCACCATTACCACCCCCTCGTTATCGCCACCATTACCACCCCTCGTTATCGCCACCATTACCACCCCCTCGTTATCGCCACCATTACCACCCCCTCGTTATCGCCACCATTACCACCCCCTCGTTATCGTCACCATTACCACCCCCTCGTTATCGCCACCATTACCACCCCCTCGTTATCGCCACCATTACCACCCCCTCGTTATCGCCATCGTTACCACCCCCTCGTTATCGCCACCATTACCACCCCCTCGTTATCGCCATCGTTACCACCCCCTCGTTATCGCCACCATTACCACCCCCCCTCGTTATTGCTCTTACGAATTAATAATTCTTAATTCTGACATTTATCATGATAAGTATTAATACAACTTATTTCATTCTTCAGTTATTTGGAGGTTGACTAGTGTTATCCTATTGTTGTCTTGAGTATATTGTTGGCTCAGCTGTATCATTATGTCGCGTACCAGTCTGGTGTTATTTTTGTTATGTGAGGTTATCATGAGAGAGGAGACATTGACGTCACGTGTGGGAAGGGGGGGGGTCCATGGATACCAGCACTGATGTAAATAAATAAATGTTTATTCAGGTAAGGTACATACATACAAGAGATTTTACAAAAATTGATAGATTTATAGATAGAGCTGGGACATACAATGCCTAAAGCCACTATTACGCAAAGCGTTTCGGGCAGTGCACATTGTACCAACTTAGCGTGATAATTAAACCCCTGTAAGTATTCTTTATTATCGTAGGTACATTTTTTAAATTACACCTTATTAGTGATAAATGTGTATATTCTTTTGTTAATAATTATGTTGATAAGTATTACTCTCAGCTAGCAGAGTATCTGAGAGTATTCTTGTGTGTCTTATATTGGTAATGTGTAGACGGTATGTGAGGTAGGCGTCTAGCAAGCTTGTAGTGTGGGTACAGCCGCCTGGAGTGGTGTTCTTGAGGATATCTTGAGATGATTTCGGGGCTTAGTGTCCCGCGGCCCGGTCCTCGACCAGGCCTCCACCCCCAAGGAAGCAGCCCATGACAGCTGACTAACTCCCAGGTACCTATTTACTGCTAGGTAACAGGGGCATCAGGGTAAAAGAAACTCTGCCCATTGTTTCCCGCCGGCGCCCGGGATCGAACCCGGGACCACAGGATCACGCGTCCAGTGTTCTGTCCGCTCAGCCACCGGCTCCTTGGACCGGACCTGTAATTGTGAAATAAGTCTTTGGAGACTCTTTTTGTTCAATTAACTTAACTAATTATCTGGTTAGACCATTATTTGCATACCCATCTATTAATGTATAGTTTAATCCAGTGATCTGTGCTTATACGTGCTATTTCACCTCAGGGAGCTGGTCGGCCGAGCGGACAGCACGCTGGACTTGTGATCCTGTGGTCCCGGGTTCGATCCCGGGCGCCGGCGAGAAACAATGGGCAGAGTTTCTTTCACCCTATGCCCCTGTTACCTGGCAGTAAAATAGGTACCTGGGAGTTAGTCAGCTGTCACGGGCTGCTTCCTGGGGATGGAGGCCTGGTCGAGGACCGGGCCGCGGGAACACTAAACCTCGAAATCATCTCAAGATAACCTCAAGATTGTTGTTTTTTAAATATTTCTGGTGAGTCTTGGATACCTGTAATGGTTTTATATTTCTGTGTTTGTCGCCCCTTCATGAAGTATATTGCTTGACTTGTTAAGCTGTTACTCTCATTACACCCTACACCAGTGATACTGGTAAGGCCGCATTTATTGTTAATTTACGACTGCAAGGCACAGGAACCATACCTAGATGCATAGGGGTTATCTGGAGATGATTTCGGGGGCTTATAGCGTCCCCGCGGCCCGGTCTTCGACCAGGCCTCCTGGTTGCTGGACTGGTCAACCAGACTGTTGGACGCGGTGTAACACTGTAAAAGTGTTTGGGTTAGTTTATTTAAAAAATATAGAGTACATGAGTCACAGACAAGGATCTGAGAGGCGCCAGTTGTCTGCCTGAGATCTCACACCTCAAAGCGTTAATGACCTCAAGTGACCTGAGGTCAGATCATGAGAATTTCACCTTGCTTCCGCTAAGCTCTTAATTGTAGTCTGGTAGCCTTCAAACAAGCCGACGTTTAAGGAGTGGCTTGGTAGTGCCGGAGGCTATCTATTTGTGGGCGGAGTTAGCTACTAGGTTCCCCAATATAAACTCGGAGAGCTATCCAGAAAGGAGCATTAATCAAGAGAACAGCAGACGAGCAGAGCAGGGAGGCTGTCGGCCGGCAGGGCGGGAGTCTCTGTCAACTACAGACCCTCCCCCCTCTCTATTCAACTTAGACTCAGTCCTCGGTGAGTGAACATTAAGGTGACTTGGTCGTGTTTACATATGTTGTGTGATGATCAGGGGCAGTCAAGTTGTAGGGTTCTCGAATTCTTGGATGATGACTCACTTTGCATATTAAACTGGAACATTTTAATTTAATTGCTAAATTATGATACTTCATGTGAAATATAATTATGAATTTATTATTTAAATTGTGTTTAACTTTGTTCCCTAGAGATTTGAGTTGAGGTGAGAAAGCCTCTGTGGTTACTGGTTTCATGGTTTAGAATGAGTACATGATAAAGATGGGAACTACTAATAATGATCTCATGATAACATCTTTGGTGAATATTGTGATACAGACAAGTTCCATTCCTTGTCTTGTATGTAATGATCATGAATGGATGGTGGCAGCATTTCGTCTTCTACTATCTACTCTTCTACTTCTACTATCTACTCTTCTACTTCTACTATCTACTCTTCTACTTCTACGTATCTACACCTCTCCCTCCACCCCTCTCTCAACTCTCACTTTCAACTAATGACCCTCCTCGCTCCTCCCACCTCTCTACCTCTCACCCCAAACCCTCACTAATTACTTCACTATTCATTTCTTTCCTTTCGTTTTCTCTTATACGTTTGTGGCAATGATTCTGTATTCTAGAGTTCTCTCTAGAGTTTCGGGTAACTGATCAAGTGACGGCGCCTTGTAGTCTTAGCACCTAGGTAGTCGAATACCTAGGTTACAAGGTGTTGAACCAGAGAGGTTGCCTTAGGAACTCTGGAGGGTGCTCTAGAATAGTTAGCTAACTGGGGACGGGATAACGGACTAGAGAGAGCTGTTTCCCCCGGCCTCGTTAGCTAACTGGGGGGTGGAATAATGGACAAGATAGAGCTATTTCCCCCACCCCCCGTTACAATGATGGCAGCGGTGTTGAACAATGTTTAAGGTATTGGTGTTCTTTTAACATTGTTCAGTCCCACGTGTCTTTTTGCCGCTCAGGCGCTATCAGGGAGATCTTGACAGGTGTTTAATATTCGCGGTTTAGCGAGTTTTTTCAGGCTAGGAGATAGTGATTCTCTAGTGTTGTGGTTTAGTGATTTTGTGAGTTTTGTGGTGTTCAGGGAATGTTCTCCAGAACTTGCGTGTATAGTGATTTATGTTAGTAATAAGATTTGGCGATTTGGGAACTTAGCGGTGTTGGTAG